AAAGTTGATGTTGGGTTATGAGAAGCAAAACTTTAGAATTATTTTTGATACACACCATCTTGAGCAGCTCGAAAAGGTGCCATGAGAAAGTATATTTTGCTTCTTGATATGATTTGAAATAACTTGAAAAATGAATATAAACGAAAATCCGCAAAGTCGCTTTTTTCGATGTATGCCAAAAATTAAAAAAATATAGTTTTGTTGAAATTTAAATTATTCTCTTACTTACTTGTGTTGGTAGGTCTCCTAGAAATTATTCTCTTACTTTCTTGTGTAGGTAGATTCCTGATTTCCTTGCCTTTAGTCTTAATAATTTTAGAGTGTTTTAGTGTATTATAATTTTTAATTATTTTAGTATTAATATGACAGTCTATGATAAAAAACAATTTGCCGTTTTTTAAAAACCCGCAATTTTAAAATATTTTAGAAATTCATGTGTTACTGGACTTTAAACAATTGCTTGTTTTAGACTAACTGAGGATGGTGGCAAAACACCGAAATCAATTTTAAAAAGATTTTTGAATAATTTATGATATCCAAATAAATAACTGAAACCCTTAAAAATAGTTTATATTAAAATAATGTCGAATTTAAGTCAGATTGGAAGTTTTCAGACCAAGCATCTTTCAGTTTCCAGCACCACCACTCAGTTTCCTCTCCTTCATCATTTTCGTGAACTTTACGTTTTACTACGGTTTTTTGTCTATTGTTATATTTTTCTTGTTATTTCTTGCCTCGCATCATTGTGTGTTTTCCGATTTTTTCGCTTTTCTTGTTGAGCTCTTTGCTTTCGCTTTCGAAGAGACTCTGATTTCTTTGGAAAAGCTGAATTTTCGATTGCCTGGCTATGTAGCATACTTTTCACTTGATGCATTTGAGGATTGTTATTCAGTTCGAGATACGATTTTCGCTTATAGTTTGAGTTTGACAGCCTTTATTTCTGTAAGGAGGCGTTATGATAGCACGGTAATTCATGACACAGTAGAGTAAAAAATCAATTTTTGTAAACATATTTCTATAATCGTCAAAAATTCGTCATTAAATGCTACTGTTGTTTGAAATTAGAGCTTTATCAAATGCTTTTTCTACACAAGATACAATTTCATAACTGAATAGTGATTTCCTTAGATGTTTTTACAAGCTTAGATGGAATGGAGAATGGTCTGAAGATGCCAACCTTAAGTGACTGTAACTTGTTGGTCGAGTACGGTGGAAAAATCAATATCGTAATACAATTTCTTTTCGCATTATTCAAAACTCAGATCGATAACTAACTTTCATGATTGCCAGATAGAATGGGGCTATTTATTTTTAAATTGCAAATATGATTTATGATGTGGTTACTTTGCACATCACAACTTGTTTTGTTCTTTTACCTGCTAATACTTTAGCTGATTTGTGTCACTGTCCCTGTTCCCACTAGCTATTTGACGAAATCCATATTGGATGATGGAGGTTCACACCCAGAACTCCCAAAGACTAAATGTGTGGTGTGGAATAGTGTGAGGAAAAGTAAGATCATCATTTTCAGCATGTCCAATCTCAAACTGAACAAGGCTATCTAGAATTTCTCCAACTTTAATCAAATAGAAGTTGAAAAGTCAGATAAAAAAAAACAATCCGCCGAGTTTTAAATGTAATTTAGACATTACTTTTGGGACTCAGTTTATACAAGTGCAAAAGCAGAAAAACCGATTTGGTTTCCGAAAGAAATACAGATTATTATTATCATCTTAAAAATATTTGTCCCTCTATAAAAACATGATAAAGTACCTACATCTATTAACGGTCATAACGAAAGTAAACTTTAGTTTACCGGACACTTAAAGAGCGCATGTCATAATCTATATGAAAAGAGCTATTTTATTTGTCTCATTGTTTCCTCATTCTGTAGCTTAAATGTTCCACCAGTTGAATTGTGGGCAACTATGAAACATCTATCCCAAACTAGCTGCAGCAACTGCCGCATTTTAAAGTTATTTACGTAATCAGTAGGATATGAATATGATTAACGGACGCATGTGAAGATTTGATTGAAGATTGAAGAGAAGATTTAAGACATAAGTGCGTTAATAATATAATATCCTACGTGTTACGTAAATATTTTATCTACAACTATTGCGATTATTATTTTAGTGACTACTTGAGTAAAAATAACTAGTTATAAAATTGAATATTGAACACAGATAATGAAAATTTATCACTGCATCAGAATAATTGTAAAAATTTTGTTTTAAAATTACTACTTTTTTAACGAGTTCAAGCGATGATCTGACATCTGATATTGAGAACGAAGCTTTTAATGTTGTTTCGGATCTTGTGTCAGGAAAACCACGGAAGAAATACCAAGAACCTTTTGGTCGGTACCAGAAATGGTGCAGTGAACAAAAGATACTCAAGTGAACAAGCGAGAAATAATTGTCGGGGTTAATACCACGAGAGATTTGAAATTGTTCGAAGGAAAACATGTCAGAGTGAAAAATAATATGGTTAGTTTTAAAGCTCAAGTGGTATTTAGTGAGATTATGTCTCGAATTTAATTTTACACTAAGAAATAAATAAATGTTATAAATCATAGTATTTAACAAGAAACTCATTAATTAATGGAATAAGCAAAGTTACAGTTGTAGTAATGATTTCTTACATTTGTATTTTTCTCAGCAGATCTAGACGTTGAGGGGCCGCTGGCAGACAGTTGAGGTTGAATTTAGCTCGTTTCTCACATTTTTTTCTATTAGATCTCTATGGTGTTCTTTATCCATCTGTAGATAGCTGGAAAGTGATTTCGCACTTGAATGGCCAGTAATTTTTATCAAGTTTTCATCGGACACATCGGAAACCGCCGTGGCCCTTAATGAATGGTTTGAAATTTTTTTTGTCACTCTTAAGTCCCACTTTTGTGCTTGGTTTTTAGTCCATGTCCAGATCTGTTACGGGACTGTTTTTGTCCCAAAGTTCAGTTTGTTTCCAGTCTGGATTGCCTGTTAGAAAAAGTCGTTGACATTTTGTTTTTCCTAGTTTTTCTTTCAATTTAAAACGCAGCGTTACAAGTAAAAGCTCACGTTTGAATTGTTTTTGACTAACCATTTGGGATCGGCACATTTTTTATCGCCTCCTTGTGTCGTTATTGCAAATACAGGATTGTACTCAATTCTACTAGTTTTTTCCCCGTTGATGTGCAATTCTTCTTTAAAAAAGCCAATTTGTGCTCGTGTTCTTTCGCCTGCTCTTCAAGCAAGTTCATAGGAAAGAGACAAAAATACCTTTTTCTGCAGTCCTTCACGAGATTCTTCATTACAACTAGTGATCAACTTTTTCAATTCATTAAAAGGTAGGAAACTCGCCGATTGCTTACAATTATTTTCACAACCTTGTAATTCTCTTCGTTTCGCATTTCTTGTATCTCGCACTGGTTGAAATTCGATTTGCTCAAACGGCTTTATTTTTATTCCATACTCCTTAAAACATTTTTCGATCAGTAGACTAGCTGTGACGTTCCAGATGGTTTTAACAGTGCGTTCTTTGTTTAAACTCCATTTTGTTTTTCTCCATGTTTGTTCTCCATTTACCTATGTTGTAAGCCGAGCTTTTTAAAATAGACGCAAGTTCCGAGATTGGAGTATCTCAATCCATGTTATAATGTTTTTTCCGCACAAAAAGATGTAAATTGTTTCCAAATGTACTTCTTACTTTTTGTGGTGTTTGTCAGTTCGCTGCTAACCACCATTTTATCAATATATTCGTCGGGGATATCTCCAAAACGATTCATTTTTGAGAATACATTTTACATCACACTTTAAATAAATCAGTAGGCAGTGATATTGACAATGATCGACAGATTTATTACCGCACTAGTGCGATGTAGATAAAATATTTTAATGCATTTCGTCTGTTAATATAATTGTCGAACCACAGACTCAACGCTGACTCCCCTGCAGACGACCAAACGACGCAACCGAAGAACGACGTAAGATACCTTGGGATCACAATCGACCACAAACTGAAATTCACTAAACACACACGAAACATCAGAACAAAAATGGTAGAAAGAACAAAACACTTTCGATCACTAACATACAAGGACAAAGGAATTAGTACAAATTCACAAGGAATTAGTACAAATTGCACTAAGACTAATAACACGAATAACACACCCCCAAAACCCACTGCACAACCCTTCCAACCAACTACTATACGAACGCACAAACATGACAAAAATTTCGAAAAGACTAATACACTTACAGACAAAATGGACAAACAACCCCCACAACTGGACCATACTGAATCCCATTTGCCTCACAAGACAGACAAAACACACCCGTTGTCGTTCCCCAACAGATACTTTACTAGAACACCTACAAACGCAACTGAACTAAGGACTAAGATCTGTTTGTTTTGTAAGCCAAGAATTTTTATTTTTTTTAATTTTTTTATATAGCTGGTTAATTTATACGAGTGTTAGGAATAGGAATTAATTTTAGAATAAGCTAGGTTAAGACACATATGTACTACACAAGGGCAGAAAGACCGATTGGGTCAATAGCCTTTTTCTGTAGGAAATAAAGATTATTTATATATATGTAATTGGCTTTAGGGCAATATCATTGATGTACAGAAAGAGCCAACTGATTTTCACAATTCCTAGGTGTATGATGGTCAACTTAAAAACGTTTTATTTCATAAATAAATTAAATGTACCAGGGATTCAATAACTCAAACCTCTAAATGTCGTTTGTTATTGATGTTTTCTTTTAACAAGTAAAACATTCACATTTACTAGATTAAAGCCCAACTTGGTATCCTCCAATTTTACGTATCATATTCACCGCCCACTAGTTTGTTTTGCAAAACTCAGGTAACAGAAACTTAACCTGAAACAAATTGACGGCAGGGAGCCCGGTGTGGAGGAGCCCTATGTATGTATATGGATTCAAAGGTATGCGCCTGTCTGGACCTTTGCTTCGTCCTACAGACGTCGTTCCATGGTGGCGTGCCACTCAGTTTGCAGCTCTCAGCTCATGAATTAACCGCATCCAGAGCAGCAGGATGTCTGCGGGCCTCGTCTTCTGATTGCGATTCGCTCATCGCCGGATTTTGCCCACGTTACGAGCCAGAAATTCTCAGCTCTAGCCTGATATGTTTCATTAATTTTTTGAAGCAAAAACAACAGATTTTATAGTGGGACTTTTGGTGCAAAATGTGATATGTGATTGTTTTTTTGCCTTTGTGCTATGCAATTGTACTAGTGGCTGTAAATCCTGGATATTTTGTAAACTGGAGGTGTACTGATCATGGCCTCTAGGATTTGCTTGCTGGTCTGCTTTACAATATCTACAATAAATTCAGGTAAACTATTTTCTAAGCCGGAAGTTTTTTAAAATGCAGGAAAACGTATACTCTAAACATTGAATATTCTAAATGTTCCAAACTGAGTTCACGTTATAAAGACCATTTTTAGTTAAATATTTATGGGAGGATTCCTGCGAGCTTCATTAGGTCCTAAGAGCTATTAGATCATAATTCATTCTTACATTTTTTTAATCACAAGTTTTTCATAATTTGGCCGACATTGTCTTCATTATTATCAAGTGAGTTCACGAAAGAAATATATTTGAAGCACTAAAAGTAATTTCTTCACGCAACTTTTTTTATTAGGACAGTGTAATTTGAAAACAGCTCAAATGAGTTGAAAGGAAGACCATAAAATTCGTTATTAAATCTGAATGGCTTCATATTTCGCGAGAAGGAAATCAAAGCAGTTTTCCCTGTCCCAATATTGCGGCACCGAAATTAAACGTAATTAACACTTGATCACCTGTTAACCATTCCATCGTCGATGTTTTAAATTAATATTCCTAATTTGTTTCCATTTGTTTCAAATACTCGGTGCTCTAAAATCTATGGCATTATTTTATATTATTATACTATTTGTGAACTGAGGATAATTTATTAAAACAATTAATTTGTAGTTAAACTGAGGAAGATGCAGAAAAATACGTAAATAGAATATGCACATTAATAGCATATTTTTCATGACATCTTTATGGTCCAATGTGAACACACCGGTGCCTTTCCGATATCAGTATTCACTGCTGCTACAAAAATATTATCTCCTTTAACTAAGTTTCTTAAATTGAATGCTCTTGTAAATGTCCGAGTTATAGATCATTACTACTTCACACATGCACGGAAGATGTCAGTCAATTCTTGCACTGAAAGCACAATATAAAATTATTTAATATTTTCTCTAGTACTCAAATAAACCAGACAGTTTCTACTTGCCCTGCAAATATTACGTTTAGAACTCTTTACAATACGATAAAAATTAAATGCTGATGTCTTAAAGCAACCCATTTTCCAATTTATGAATAAATGGATAAGAAAACCATGCAGATTAGAGAAAATAAATTGAGGGATGTTTCGATAATTAAATAGAGAAACCTAAATAATATAAATTAGAAACGCATAGGAAGCTATTAAATTTGTCCCAAAAACATCATATTATTGATGTTGATAACCCAGTAAACTCAATGCGTTTTAAATACACTAATTAGAATACTTGTTTTCATTCGGTACATTTTAAGTTTAGCATTATTTAAAGGTCCACTTCTGTATTTAAAAGTATATTTAAAACTAAAACAGGCGGAATGGATTAGAAAATGACGACGCAAAATCGAATTGGAAATAAAAACTTAAGGATTAAATAATTATAAAATTATATTAGCAAATTACAAAAATATTGTCAACGCACCTTAGGTAAAAGTGAACACACTAATAAGAACACTCGTTTTCATTGAGCTCATGTTCTATTTAGTACCTACTATTTAAATGTCTACTTTTACCGGGTTTAAAAAATACATTGTGAACTTTAACTAGCAATGGCCAGCAAAATGTATTAGAAAATTACAAGGGAAAATGTGAATTCGGAAGTACAAAATGCAATATTGAATCATAATTAATCAGAGGAATTAAAAAAATTACTAAAATTTAGAGACTTTCTGCATTTTTAGTAATACATTAGTGAATTCACTAATTAGAATAGTTATTTTCATTTAGTCCACGTTCACTTTAGTGACATTTAAATCTCTACTTCCGTGTTTAATAAATATATTTAAAACTGTGACCAGCGCTGACCAGCAAAATGGATTAGGAAATTACGACGGCAAATAATAAAAATATGAAAAATACGTAGTATTCTCTACCGTGCTGTAATTATTTTTATAGAACTTTTTTACCTACAGTATACAAGAACAAATATTTATACAAGAACAAATAATAATTTAAATATCAAAATTTTATAACTTCTAAAATCTATTCGACTTGTTTTCCTTTGGCCTTTGCAAAACTGAATGTACTTCTTAAAAACATTTTGTATTTTGGGTAGCAGCTGTACTTTTATCGGAAATTGGCTTTATTAAAAATATTTTTCTTACTCTTTGGACACTTGGATCACAACAGCGAAAACATTTGCCGACGGAAATGCATAATTTCCAGTTGCCGGGAAATTGTGTGGAGGTGGAATAACGGAAATCAGTTGGAATACATTTTGTTATGCCTTTATGCTTGTATATTCTTTTTGAATTCTGAAGCATATATATTTGTTTGCTTTAATGCATCATTTCCTTTTTTTCACGGAACAGTTGTATTTTAAAAGTGCATTTATGTTCATGTCATACGGATTTTTTCAGAATTGAATTAAACCCTATGTTTTTTTTTGTAGTTTGAATTTACTGGTCTTATATTTTACACGTTTCAATTTTTTTACTTATATATTACAAGTTTTTTAAGAATTGTAAATTGCATTTCAGAATTTTAGCAACTTCTGGCTTGAAAACTTTTAAGATCGGCTCACACGTTTTAAGTAAAAAAAACATTTAAGAGATTTATCTATAACTTCAAACAGATTACACTATACTCTATGAAAGCATTTGATTTTAAATAGTATACGAACAGCTTTTTTGTTTTGCCTACAGTGTCAAAGAGAGTATTATGTGAATACGCAAAACAACTACCTGTTCTGCCTGTGAGTGTTGAATCTGCTCTTAGTCAAATTGAGATACCTAAAATGATGACGATTTGAAGCTTGTGAAGTAAATGAGTGTACGATTTTTAACCTGCCATTAAACACAAGAATAAACGAATAAGTAAAATTTGCATAATCTCAAAAGGATGTATTCAAAACTGTCTTTCCTATTGATTTATTACTTTGTTTTATCGAAACATTTGTTGCTCTTTACCCTTCTATGAAGTCACGAATATTATACATACTTAAATGCTTATTGTTGTTCGCTGACTACCAGGTGCATACATATACATAATTAAAGCATTATACCATATTCAAACAGGGAGTGCAAGTTAAATTAGCATATCTTTGTGCCAACGGCTGCACATTCGAATAATTTTGTATATAGAGAGAAGTACATTGAAAATGTTGAAGGTCAGGAAGTTAAACGGAATATGAGTATTTATTTAGAATGAAGTTTAGTGAAGCGCGTTTAAAGCGTTTTATTACTATATTGAATTATAATTATAATTATAATGAATATATTAATATTTTATTGAAACGAAACCACTAATTCGTATTTGATTTGTGCATGTACTAAATATTTGCACTCCCTACGCACGTTACTTCAGTTGAAACTAGTGAATGATTTTGTTATCAACGATAAATATTATAAAAATATAATTTTGAGGTACTGATGCAAAACTGTTTGAATGTTAACTTACAGGGACTTATCTTTTAAAAAATATACCAAACATTACATTATAAACATACATTTTAACTCTTCGTAACACTGTAACCAAATATCTGAAGTAAACCGCAAAAAAGCTTTTTTGGGAAAAAATTATATAAATGCATGTGAATTTAGAACCGCATAATACGACTATTTAAAGTATGTTTGTAGATGTCATTTGTTATTGTAAACTACTCCGACATCAAACTTTTAACTCTCTATATTGCTTTCTTCTTGTATTCAGTACTTTTCTCAAAACAGTACAACGAAAAGACAATTGCAAATATCAATATATATAAAGAAATTGTCTTACTAGAAAATAAGAGTTTACTTATTTGCGCGTGTTTAGGAAATGCGCTTACTTGAAAACGCATCAAAAATTTTATGATTTTTTGCCAATATTTTTGTAATTATTTATGAACATTTTTCTGCATCGCGGAAATGAAGAAGCTTGAGAATTTTCACTAAAACTTAATAGTTTTTCAGTAGATAAATATATGTCTTATATAAAAACAATTAAATACCCCAAACCTACTGTTCCTAGTTTTGTTGTTTTCTGTTTAGTCTAGTGCAACTTGTTGATTGTTGCATCATTTCAATAATTTTTATCTTTGTTTCATGTAGCAATGTTTCGTCTTTTTCACTGTAAATTAATAATAAACATTACACCTAATGGCCCAAGGCGTCAAAGCGCTGAAAAAAACATTTAAATAATCATAAAACTGTCGCTCTTCCTGGAAATGTAACTAGATTATTTTTGTATGGGATATGTTGTTGGCATGTGTCCACATCGAAATGCTATTTTTGGTGGAGTTAATGTTAGGAGTCAAGTTTATTTTATATTGGCAACTGTTGAAGTGCAATATTTGCATTAAAAACTTTTCACGAACGGTGCTGTGTCTGTTTATTTTTTCATATTCAGAAGGCAGATTATGTATACTTTCTTCGCAAGAGCTTAATAATCTCAAAATTTTCTAGAAATCTATATCAATATATAAAAACAGCTGAACGGGACCAGTAGGACTTTTTATAGTAGTGAATTGGGAGAAATTTCATTATCGTTTTAAATAATCGTTTTTTATAAGAATCTGTGTTTATGTTTCGAAAAATGAGCAGATGAATTGTTGTTGAAAATGGTGCTTGCTACAAAGTGTCCTTAAAAGAAATTATGTACCAATATTGACACTTTAAATTATTTATATAGGTTAAGCCCTCTCCACCCATAATATCTACTGCACATTAAAGGGTTTACACAAATCAAAATAAAACCTGATGGTAAAATTTAATTTGCGTTTTCTACTTAACTAGTGCAAAGATAAGTGAATTTTTTTATTAAGTTATCTTTTATTTACGTTAATCGTTGTTATTCTCTCCTTCATTTAAGTGAAGTATTTCCTATTGTTTTTTCAATAGTCCTGTTAATCACTTTTCGCTGTTGATGTTATAAACGAGGAAGTTCGTAATCAAAACTCGTGTCGAACCACGAAATTCCGAAACTATAAAAGAACAATTATTCAAATTGAAATAAGTTTAACGGACTGCAATAAAGTTCTGGCGTGCTCGGTTTTATTTCCCTGTTAGAGGCCGAGATCTAGCTTAATGCGAGTATCG